TTGATATAATTAATGAATATTTTTAAATTAACCAATATGCAAACCTTTAATTTTCTCAAAATAACAGAAAATGGACTTACACCACTCTCAAAATAAACGGTCCATATGCTTATTGTAATGTTCAAAATTTATTAATATATTGACTGCCGCGTGCATTTCACGTGTTTTCCTGTCGCGTCTACATGAATTTTTTATTATATATATTTTGTTGACATTTGTTTTTTTACAGCAGATAAAGGAAGTTTTTCCCTCGAGGCACTGTTAGTCCAGGCAACAAAAGGAGAACTTGGAAAATTTAGCGGCCTTGTTAAAATTTGATATAATGGTAATTCAACGACGCTGAATCGAATGGTGCTAATTTTTTTGCAATTGGATCAGGAGATCTTTGAGGCCGCTAAATTTTCCAAGTTCTCCTTTGTTGCCTGGACTATGTCGACCATTTGGAAATCATCAGCTGTTTCAAATTGTTCAAAAATGGTAACAGATTATAATTTACAAAAATCTATATTGATTTGTTTGATGGTGAAGTGCAGATCACCGGTAAATTACACGGCAGTCAACGTGTTAAGATTGATTACTATAAAAATTGTTTAACGCACATGAATCTGGCCTCCTGTATAACTAGCATCATGGATAGAATTTACTTCAAAACTAGAAATGAACAATAATTTCTTTGAGATTATAACAAAACAAGAATTAGAAAACATATCAGTAATTATAAATGTAACTTACGCTTCTTTCAAGATATTTTTATTCATAATGAGGCTTTTCAAATATCTATATATGTAGCAAAAATAACAAAAATTTACACACTTTGTCCCGAAATTATATAAAATGAAATTAAACTGTAAGCCACGCGCTACAAAAGCGAACTGCAATTTCAATGGTTATAATACCTATTACATATGCAGCATGATGATTTCTATTGCCACTAGAGAGCGCGTCAATTCGATAGGATAACTGTTCAAATATTTAACATCTATAATCGCATACTTTATTAATTAATTATTTAATTAGTTATTAAAAATTAAAAATACAAAAACATTTTTTCTCATTTCTAAGGAAGTTTTCTATTGTTTTTTGTTTTCAATCAATTTCTCACTTTTTGTTTGTCCGTTGACATCATGAGCGGGAGATATGTTATACGCATGCGCATCAATAAATTCAAGGCACAAGCGAACGTGGAAAAAAATGAAAGTAAAGTTGGTATACCTGCAGGGGATATATTTAAGAGTGATTTCCAAAGTAACAACCTATAGGGTAGTGAAAAGAAATAGTTTAATCGTTCATAATGTATAAACAATAGGTAAATATTTGAATATAATATGCGAAACTTTTTTGTGGTGAAGTATATAGAAACTCACAAGTCCCCTTTTTTATCTAGCATCATTTTTGTAACCACTGGGACCACCATTGGACGATAGTATGTACTTAACGCGATGATGAAACAATACTATCAAAGAATACAATATCTTTCGATAGTATATATAGTATAGTTATATTGTAAGAAAATTTAAAATAATTATATTTAATTTTTAGTGTCTAAATACGTGTGTGCCTTCAGAAATGCATTTATACGTATATTTTAAAATGAAGCAATTTAGGACACTCAAATAAAAAAGAATCCAGAAGGTTTGATGATAAATCCAACGATGATCACCTGTAACAAGAAGAAAACTATATTAGTCATACAGATAAGTGATGCAATAGCCTTACATATAAATCAGATGCGCTTTCCAATTGAATTCTATATTTATTTTGATGAAATCTCTATTAATCGTTGCAATGAAATTAAATTTAATTTACTCGTTTTCGTCCAGAAAAGCATGTAATAAATGTCTTAAATGCATTGTTTCGTACTTAGTTTATCTTATCGCGATTAATTTCGATATATCGATACTTCGATATTATAAATAAATGAGCAAGAAGAACTTTTCAAAAGTTCAACAGCAAGTTCGAACTTTTCGAGAATAGCTCTCTAGTCATATTTTATATTTTATTATATTACATTCTTGCTCGTCATTAATTTGTAGTTGTAATTGGAGATCCACATCCATTCCATCTCCTTGAGACACCAAATTCGTGTCTATATTGTCTAAAAGATGCATATGTGTTAGTTAGAGTCAGAAATATTACAATTTTTATATTATTAAATTTTAAAGCTTTAATAACGTTCAGTAAATATTACAGTAATTTCTCTTTTCTTGTTTCGTCTTTAAGATTTTTAAATGTAATCGTATTTTATTAAATTTGCAATTTTTCTTTTCTATAAGTATTTCATAGTAATTATTAGATATTTTTTTTTTTGGTAATCTAATATTTGTATTTTTCCTTTTTTCTTTTTTTTTATATATATTTTGTATAAATGTAAAATCACGCGTTTAAATTTAATTTTATTGCAACGGGTAATAGAGATTTTTGATAAAAATAAATAAAGAAATCGATCGAAAAATGCATCTGCGAATGGGACAATTTGTATGTTAGGCTATTGTATCACTTGATTGTACGATTAATATAGTTTTCTTTTTGTTACAGGTGATCATCGTTGGATTTAACATCAGACCTTTTTGATTTTCTTCTACTTTTTAAAATATACATGTATACAAAACGAATTTTGAAGGCACACACGTATTTAGACACTAAAAATTAAATATAATTATTTTAAATTTTCTTACAATATAACTATACTATATATACTATCGAAAGATATTGTATTCTTTGATAGTATTGTTTCATCATCGCGTTAAGTACATACTATCGTCCAATGGTGGTCCCAGTGGTTACAAAAATGATGCTAGATAAAAAAGGGGACTTGTGAGTTTCTATATACTTCACCACAAAAAAGTTTCGCATATTATATTCAAATATTTACCTATTGTTTATACATTATGAACGATTAAACTATTTCTTTTCACTACCCTATAGGTTGTTACTTTGGAAATCACTCTTAAATATATCCCCTGCAGGTATACCAACTTTACTTTCATTTTTTTCCACGTTCGCTTGTGCCTTGAATTTATTGATGCGCATGCGTATAACATATCTCCCGCTCATGATGTCAACGGACAAACAAAAAGTGAGAAATTGATTGAAAACAAAAAACAATAGAAAACTTCCTTAGAAATGAGAAAAAACGTTTTTGTATTTTCAATTTTTAATAACTAATTAAATAAATAATTAATAAAGTATGCAATTATAGATTTTAAATTTTCAATTAATGTGCAATTAAGAGTACTTATTTATTTTTTTCTGCTGTTGAGGTTCTATGCCAACTTTTCTGCGGTGCCTCATAGTTGGTGTCATTAAATCAACATGGTTGGCTTAAATGAAATCGATAATAAAGTGAAAACATGCGCATTTTTTGGTATCGCTTCTTGTGATTCTGTACTTAATAGTTTGATGAAATAAAGTATCTGAAAAGTACACTTTTTCAAATCTAGTTCAGTACTTAGCCACAGGTGTTGTAAAAACTTGATGTGGAAAATTACATTGCACTTTCGCTCTATCTAATCTTCTTTGTTTAGAGTCTCTTTTATTAAACATAAATAATATATCTGAATTAATATTTAATATTTTTATTAAGCAAAGTAAATTATCGACTATAATTTATTGATAAGTAAAATTATGCAAAATGTTGTATCGCTTAATGAATCAATGTATGCGAGTATTGCCGCACAAAATAAATCATTTCAAGATAGACACAAGATTTTTATGTGAAATACCTTCAGTAAAAGAAGAAAAACAAACTCCAGAATTAAATTCTACAATTAAAGATGAAAAGTTAACAAAAAAGAGATATCCTGAATATGAAATAATTTATAAATATCCTTACATAAAATATGTAAGTTTATTTCATATATTTAAACGAGGTTTGATGCTACAAACTGTTGCTACAGTGCCGATAATGTTTCTATTATATCAAGGAAACATTATATCAAAAGATATAGCTTTCTTTATACCACTTATTGGTAAGCCTTTAACAATAATAAAAAGTAATTCAAAAAATGAATAGATGTATCAGTTAATTCGGTCCCTTAATATTAAATTCATTTTATCAAAATCGCCTTCTTTTTGAATCAAGGATTCAGCAGTTCTCTTAAAGATGGACCAAAAATATCGAAAATAATGGAGACTATTCCGAAGAATAACAGATGCATGTTTATTTTATAAATAATTACTAAATTTGTTAAAAAGGCATCGAATTATTTGTTACATCTAATACATTTTTTCATATCTCTTTTAAAAAAAATCATTTTTGCTTACAGCAAGTTCATTTGCGATATCAGTGTTTATAGTTGGAGCATTATTTACTAATCAAATTGGTATCATATATTATAAAGATGGTGATTTTATAAAGATTGCATATGTCAATCAGTGGGGTAGAAGAATAGACATTGATACTAAGATTAGGGACATTAAACCCCTTAATAGTCCTGCTTTCTTAATAATTTTTAGAAATGTACACATCACTTCACTTACGTTTCCATTAAAACTATATGTGAATCACAGTGTAATTAGTAACAAAGAACAACTTGTAAGTATATTAGGTGATTATGAATAATATCACCATATTTAGATTTTCCTATTTAATGATTAAATATACATGTTATAATATTTAATTATATTTGTTTTACAAACGCAATGTTTTATTTATATTATTGTTTCATCCATCTAAAATGAGCATAAGCACGATTAGCATCACATTCTTTATGCAAATCATGTTTTTTCATAATAACGCGACCCTATAATGAAAAAATATAATTATAAAGAAATAAAAAGTAATTTCATCATTTAAATCACTTAAACAAAAATATCATATTCTATTAAAGATTATTCTCAATAGATAACTATAAAATAAAATACAAGAATCGTATAAAAAAAACTTTACACTAACCCGTTTATTAAAAGCATCTATAAGTTCTTTCGCTAATTGTTCAGGAAAATGTACATCTTTCTCTTTGTTTTTTGCTGCTTGTATTAACCAGTTCATTGCTAAAAAGTTAGCTCTGTGTTGGTTTATTGCTACAGGAATCTTATAATTTATACCACCTTTTCTATGTCTTTTTAACTCTAAAATTGGTGTAACGTTCTCAATGGCCTTAATGAAAATTATTTTAGGATCTAATTCTATAGTTTCTTTTTCACTAGAATTAGCCCTATGATAATCCTTTATTTGCATTATTTTAATATTTTCAAAGGTATTTTGCAGCAATATTCTAGCTAACTCTTTTTTTCCTTTTCTCATAATATAATTTGTAAAGCGACTAGAGAACAAATGATTAAATATATAAAATTTAAAATTATATATTATTATCATTTAAAAAATTTTTTTTAGTTCTTATATCAAATAAAATATACTATTATGTATACTCATAAAATACTTACTTTACAGTTTTATCATAAAATTCTGAGCATGTGTCCGTAGTAAGTGCTGGTCTAAAAGATTTATGAATAATTTCTTTAATTTCTTTTGACTGTATATTTTGTTGTTCTTCCTTATTATATATTGGTTTAATATAATGAGTTGGAAATAAGCTGTAATATCTAATAAAATATAAAAAACGTTAAATTACTTCAAATAAAAATATTTGTTCTTAAAATACATTGAAATATATTGAACTTAACCTTAACTATTACACATATTATACTAAAAGAAATAAATCGCACAAATGAAAATAAATAATATATATATATATATTATATTATATACCTTTGATTTCCGCATAAATTTAATAAATTAATTGGTTTTTTAATAACTATACGTAAATTAGACATCGTCATATGTATTTATTAACTTGAGACAATTTCATTAAACATATATTTCACAGTATAATATTATTTCGTATTAATTGTAAATAAAGACCATTATTAAAATTTCTCGTCCACATATATAATTATAAATATTATGAAATGTTTAATACAAATTAATGATCCTATACATTCATTTAATTTCACTTATAAAATAATTTCGAACTTTACAAATATTGCCTTACGAAACTTCTCTAATTTGTCGCTAGATAGAGCAAAATACACGAGCACATCATAACCTTAATAAAAATACACTGTTATGAAAATAGGACTTGAAGAGTACTGCTGATAACTGTTACTTTTAGATTAATGACGTAGCAAGTTTGCATATATACATATATCATTATATTAAAGTTTGATGAAGTCATGATTACAATAAAAGTATTGCACATGTTCAATATTGCAAGTTGTACATAAATCTGATGTGGTATATATTCCCAGCAAGAAACCCGTAAGCTGTATTATACAAACAGCAACTTTTGTGCGTAATTCTTGAAATATTTCATTCCAATTTTTAGTTATTTATATTTTTAATTTGTTAAAAGTAATATACGTTATATTAACGAGTGGCAAGTTCAAGTTATATGTATTTGTTTTTTTTTGTGATAAAGCTTATCCAATATAAATTAGCTTATAAAGGGTACGTATTTTATTATTGTTGTTTAGATGTAAATAAATTTTCATAAAAATTATCTGAGATTTGTTTCTATAGACAGATTTTCTACATTTCGAAATATGGAATTTCCCAATTTAGGAGAACATTGTTCAGAACAAACTTGCAATCGTTTAGACTTTTTACCTTTAAAGTGTGATGCTTGCGAAGCTATATTTTGCACGGATCATATATCGTATATAAATCATTCCTGCCCTAGCGCTTATAAAAAAGATATACAGGTGCCAGTGTGCCCTTTGTGTAACACCCCGATTCCACAAAAACGAGGGGATCCTCCAGACTTAGCTGTGAGCATGCATATAGACAGCGACTGCCAATCTGATGTTAGAAAGGATCGTAGAAAAATATTTTCCAATAAGTGTTCATCTAAAGGATGCAAAGTTAAAGAAATAGTGCAGGTTAAATGCAACGACTGTGGAAGTAATTTTTGTTTGAAGCATAGACATCCTAGCGATCATGCATGTATTGGCAAAGAAGAAGCAGTTAAACTTAAAAGATTGAGTACTCTGAATAAACATACTACGGTTTCGCAGAACGATAATCACAATAATTCTGTTGTATTCCGTAACCTTCAAGGTACAATGAGTGAAGATGAAGCTTTGGCTAGAGCATTACAGGCTTCATTGCAAGACGAAGGAAGAAATACTCGGCAAGGGTTACAGCCAGTGCCTTCTGCGCATAGAAACAGATGCAGACTTTCTTAATTCGCTGTTATTCAATTTAAAATTTAAAAAAATACTGCTGTTTAAACCTTCATTAAAAAGGTGAATATCTTTTTAGCTTCTATCAAATTCTATTAATAATTATTATTCATAAATAAGATTTTATACCTTTTCATATAAATACTCAATATTTATCAATCATACATTTAAAATATGCATATTACAATTTTCGATAAATTTGTTCACATTTTTAACTAGTACAACAAGATTAGATAAACTGTTATAATAATAATACATTTCTGCCATAATTGTATGTACTATAATATTTATTTAAACAGTTATTTATTTCATTATAAAGCACTTTTTATAAATGAGTGGTTCATTTCTAAAATAATATCTGTAGTGTTCATTTAATTTATATTTTTGCACATATTTAATATGTTTTAAAATTACAGCAAATTTTTTAAAATTAATATGTATATAATATAGTTATTACTTTTTCGTAAGCTTTAATAGACAAAAAAATTTCAATTTTCTACATTAAAAAAGATTGGTCACAGTACCAAGTGCCTTAATAAATTAAGTGCATGTATAAGAAAATAGGCATAAATGTACATATATACAAATATAAATATAAAAAATAAGTATATATATTTGTATATATACATATATAAAATGAAAAATTAAGTTATTTTTTTTTCAGAGTACATTTCTACTGTGTCTTACATACAATATTTCAATAATTAAGTAGGCGTACCCATTTTCTACGATTTAAACAAGTTAGAATACAAAAATAATTTTTATGCGAAAATAATAATACTTATCAATTAATTAAGCAATGAATTACAGCTGTATCAGATGCTAAATCTTTTGGATATATCTTTAAGTAATATGCATATTCAAATATCTTACAATTAGATTAAAAATATTTTATATCTAGCACGAATGTTTCATTATTTATTATAGTATTTAAAATGTTAGTAATAATAAAATTTAATTTACGTATGTATTAATTAAGAAAGAAACAGATAGAATATGTTAAAAATATCTATAAATTTTACGATCTCCAATATTATTAGTTGTATCATTATTTTATATAAAATCTATATTTCTAAGATTATGTACTGTGATCATATCAACGACATTTTCATACTCTTAATCGGTCAATAACAATAATTATAAATAAATAATAAATGCCTCTAGTATTCTGTTATAGTATACAGATATGCAGTGTATCCTTCATAATTTTAAAATATATATATCTTTAAATTTTTCTCTTGAGATATAAAGTTCCTAATAATTAAGGAATCAATGTGAATGTGAAAGTAATGTTCACTACATAAATGTTCTTATTTTTAAAATGCAAATGATAATTATTTGACTTTAAATATTTTATA